TTCTCCGGGACTTTCACCCTGTATGTGGTGCGGTCAAAGATGGGTGCATTGTCATTGACATCCAGGACCTGGACCGTTATCTGTGCCGTGCCCGAGCGTGCTGGGCTTCCCCCGTCCACGGCCGTCAGCACCAGCTGCACCTCCGGCTGCTCTTCCCGGTCCAGGGCACGCTCCAGCACTAGCTCCGGGAAGAGTTTGCCATCCGGCTGCTGCTTGACATCCAGGGAGAAGTGGGAGTTGGGGCTCAGCCGGTAGGAGCTCACAGCATTGGTGCCCACGTCGGGGTCCTGCGCGCTCTCCAGGGGGAAGCGCGCAGCCACCGTGGCAGACTCGGCGATGCGCAGGGTGCGGTGAGCGGTGGGGAAGCTCGGGGAGTTGTCATTCAGATCCAGGATCTCCACTTCCAGGCGGAAGAGCTGCAGGGGGTTCTCTGTCACCACCTGCACCGACAGCACGCAGCTGGCAGCTGCTCCGCACAGACGCTCGCGGTCCAGCCGCTGGCTCACCACCAGCGCGCCGCTGTCCAGGCGCACGGCGAAGTAGCGCAAGCTCTCCTCTGAGCCCAGGCGCAGCCTGCGACCTGGCAGCTCCTCCACCTTCAAGCCCAGGTCCCGGGCCACGTTCCCCACCACGGTTCCCAACTCTGACTCCTCAACTACCGAGTAGTGGATCTGCCCGGAGACCCAGCCCCAGCCGCAGAGCAAAAACAAACTCAGTACTTGCCATTTCCAGGCGGGTCGCTGGAGGCTGGCACTCTCCATGTCCGTGCGCATCCGGCCCGGGACACAGCAGGCACTGAGGAACTGCGAATAAATCCCTGAGTCTCTCTTGCACGGCTTAGAAAACAGCTCCGGGGCTCCGGCAGGCTGCGGCTCCAACTGTCAGCCTCCAAGCAGAGGGGGTGGGCTGGGGGAGGGGAACTGAATCACAGCCCCAGCGCGGAGGTGGGAGGGGGGGGTGGGGGAGAAGCAGATTTCCCCCCCTCGCTTCAGATCAGCGCCCAATTGGCCGAGAGCTCCATCCCCTCTCGGCCAGCAGTGGCTCCGGAGGTGCGGGAAGCAGGGGCCTGAGCCGGCAACAGCGGGGCTGCCACCCCCGGCCTCCCCTCTGCCAGCCTGACTCACTTGCTCCGACAGCTCGCTTTGCGTTCACAGGGAAACTGCACGTCCTGGCAGCCTGGAAGCAAGGTACAAGCCCTCCCTGTGTGCTCCCCCTCCACAATGGTGGCTTCACATCATGCCCACAGACAAAGGGCAGCTGTCATGAACGCAGGCCAAAGGACTTTTCATGCCCGATGAAAAGGTGCTTGTTAGAGCCCTGAGGTGCCAGGGGCTCTTCTCTCACCCCTCTTCTCCCCCTCAGCTACTGCTTTGGCTGCTGCCTGCACCCCATGATTGCCTCTCTGAGTGAGGCATCACTGCCACCGGTACCACCACTGGCCAGCAGACCTTGCACTGGGATGGGGACACCCACCCCTGCCAGCCCACCGTGGCAGTGACTGGCTCAAGGTGCAAAAGCAAAGGCAGGTGAGCCATTCAAAGCCAAAATACAATTGCTCCCAATGCACACCTGACTGGAAGCTACTTCCTCACCCTGGGGCAAGGAAGGGGTTAGCCTTCAGAGTACCCAAATCAGTGCAAACACACAGGGCCAGACAATAAAGCCACTAGATCACCACAGGATCACAACACCAGGTCAGGATCTCAGACTGGGAAGGAAGCCCAAGCCTCCCACCTGGCAGACACACACACTGAATACTCTGTGGCAGGTACAGCTTTGCAGTCTCCCGAGGGCAGAAGCAGGGGTCTTAGCCTCCCCAGGGGAGAGCACAGTAATTTCCTGCTCTCTCTGTCACAGATAATACTGGCAAGCTGCAGACTTTCAGCTCAGTTCACATCCCTGCAGAAGCCTTGTGCAGTCAGAGTCACAGAATAGCCCAGGTTGGAAGGGACCTTATAAATAATCTCATTCTGACCTCCTGCCGTGGGCAGGGACACCTTGCACTAGACCAGATTGCTCAGAGTTCAATCCAGCCCAGCCTTGGTCATTCTGACCTCCTGCCATGGGCAGGGACACCTTGCACTAGACCAGATTGCTCAGAGTTCAATCCAGCCCAGCCTTGAACACCTCCAGGGATGCGGCAGCCACAGCTTCTCTAGGCAGCCTGTACCAGTGCCTCACCACCCTCACAGCGAGGAATTTTTATACCTGTTATCTAATCTAAACCTTCTGTCAGTTTAAAACCATTCCCCCTTGTCCTGTCACTCCATGCTTGTGCAAGAAGTCCCTGTGTGCCTTCTGTCCTTGGTGCACTGAAGGCCACCCTGCCCGTCCCTGGGGTGCACACAGACCCTGGGGCTGGGGTCTGCAGCGGTGCGGCAGACAGGGATCAGAGCCTGCCTGGGATCCTGCCTGTCCCCACCACCCGGGCACCAGAGGGACCTGGGGAATAGGTGGGAGAGGCTCAGGGCCCGGCACGGGGGACGGCGATGGGGACAGCATCCCTCTGCCGCGAGCAGGGACGGTGAAGGTGCTGCAGTCCAGCGTCCTCCCTCCCGTCTGCAGCACCTCCCTGCCTATTCTAGGAGCCGTGAGGCGGGACCGCCCTGCTGCCAGTCAGGGAGAGACACCGGGAGGAACCCTGTGAATGGTGAGAACACTGCCCGGTCCCTCCTACCGCCGGCTCCAGAGGAGGGGGGAGGCGTCCTTAAAGAGACAATGCAGAAAAACACCGGACAAGGGATTCGCCAGCACACAGAGAAAAAAATTCCTTCTGGCACATACTCATTCCCCCACGGCTCCTGACGGTGCCACCAGCAGGAAGCCGTCACAGTAACCTTGGCTCTGGAATGTGCCCTGTCCCCATCCCAGGCTGAGCCCCAGACAGTACAGCTGGGTGACAGGGCATTCCACTGGCAGTACAGGGTGCTGCACCCCTGGGAAGGGGTTTGGTGCTGCTGCAGTGCCTCAGCAGAAGCCCCTGCAAAGCCCCCAAAGCCTGGGAGAAACCACTCAGTGCTCTGAGATGGCTCGGGCACCAAGGACCTGGAACAAGGGCTTTACACAGGGATCCTGCTGCTGTTTGGGCCTGTTAAAGCTTGGGATGGGGACATGGGACAAGGCAGGAAGGGTATGGGATGTCTAGGATGGAGAAGATGTTCCTTATTCCACAGGGTCAGAGCTCACTCTGTGGAAAGGCACCAAGGCAGACAGCCCAGGGATCATTGGAGACCCTGCAGGGCAGGATCCCTCATGGCAGGACACACCACCTGCTAGGGACTGGCCCAGCACCCTTCCCCCTGCATCCCTTTTGGAGGCTGGCTGTGTCCTGCAGAGCAAGGAGGTGTAAAGCATTTGCAGGCTTGACACAGTCCATTGTCACCACAAAGACTGCAAATTCAGGGCCCAGAGCCAGCCCAGCTGATTTCTCATTGCCAGTGCCTGTCCAGTGCAGTACTGGGGGGCAGGAGGGAGTCATGGCTGGGGCTCAGGCTTGCTGCCCTCCTTCCACCCCCACTCTCAAATCATTTATTGTCCTCACCCCCAAAGGCATCTTGTCAGGACATTTAGGTGGAGGGGACATCCCTGTCCCCAGCCACAGCACAGCCCACACAATGCAGAGGAGCACTTGCTCCTGCAGCTGCTGCAGCCATTCTCACCTGCCACAAATCAGAAGTGCTGAGTCTGAGCAGTGACGCAAGCAGGGGAAAAAATAAAAAGGCATAAAATAATTCTGAAAGGTTTCTGCCTCCATCTGTGATTTGGCCACACTGAGCAGGCAGCACACGCAGCCTCACACCCATGAACAGCTTCCGCTGCACCTCACTTCCTTCTGCTCTGAGGAACCAGTCACTCCTGCCCACTGCATCCCAGGAAGGACAAATTGCTAGCACCAACGACCTTGGAAATCCACCAGATCCACACTCCCCCTCCACTGGATCCAATACCTGGCCTCACCTCTGAAGATTTAAGTGTTCCTGTAATTGAAAGCTTTCAAATTAAGCAGCACAATTCTCATCGGGGGAGAAGCACAGAAGCTGCTGCCATGCACAAACGCCTTCCAGCCTGCAGTCAGGACATCAGGCATCACCCAGAGACAGCATATTACGAATCATGCAGAGCTTCTAATAGGGTTTTTGAACAACATCTGAGTGGAGGACTCACCACCCTGCTCAAAGTCCAGCTCAGCAGAACCCTGCAAGCAACGGAGGCAGTCTGCAATCCCACCCCCTGCCCCAAAGTGAACATCAGCACAGAACTTCCATGGAAATAAAACCGGAACCATTCACGAGACAAACATGAGGAACGGCACTGATGGGAAGGACTGCTCTGTGACCACAGTCTGTCAGAGGAACCATCCTCATCCTTCAGCTTTGCATGCTGCACTGTGAGAGGTGACACGCCGATCCCCAGCTCCCAACCCCATCTGCTCCCCAGCTCCCAGCCCCACCAAGTCACGACGCACAGAGATTACGTTCCCCCGCAGTACAAGTGCTCCCCTTGGCTCTCCTTTTGCACGACACGCCGATCCCCAGCTCCCAGCCCTATCTGCTCCCCAGCTCTCCAGCCCCACCAAGTCACGACGCACAGAGATTACGTTCCCCTGCAGTGCAAGTGCTCCCCTTGGCTCTCCTTTTGCAGAGGGAAGGAAATACCATTAACAACAAACTTCGTGCCAAGGATTAACAAGTGGTTTCAAGCTGACCTCAGCCTCCACCGGTTAGTCATGCAAGGCGTACCCAAAACTGCGTCAAAAAGACGTATGATTGCCAACATGAGCAAACTGACTCACTTGATCCTGCTCATCCTGCAAAAGTCATCAGCCCTCAGGATGGCTCATTTGACTCCAAAGAACACCTGTTCAGCTGTAGCTGAACTCTTTAGGGGCGTGGCACGACTGGATGTCCCTCCCAAGCCCAACACGCAACCACACGCGCACAGCACAAACGAACCATGGCTCTGCCCAGCGCTGGGACACGCCAAGGAGGGAGCTACATTACCTCGGCAGGTGTGGGCAGCCGGCTGGCAGTGCCCACAATCTGGTGGTACAGCCCTGGCTCACCATTCCTTATGGTGCCCTGGCGGCTCCCCAGGGGGCTGGAAGTGAAGGGCTTTTTACACAGGAGATCACTCTGGCGAGAGTCTGTGGTGAGATAGACCTGGTGGTAGAAGCTGGGTGGTGTGAAGCCACCCCTCACGGCATCAATGTGGTGGAAGGGCCCTGGTGTCCTGTACGTGGTACTCCTGGAGCTGTTGTACAGCTCCCTCGACTGCCTCCACTTGTAGCACTTGAAGATGCCCACGGACAACATGGTAATGAAGAAGGCTGCCGACACCAAAATCACAGCCAGGATGAGATAGAAAGTCACATGTCTCCTGGGATCATTGGCAGGTGCCACATCAGTGAGGTCAGTGAGCACCTCCTTGACCATCTCAGCCACAGAGATGGAGATGGTGGCACTGGTGGACAGCACAGGCTCCCCATGGTCTTTCAGCAGGATGACTAAGGTGTGCTCGGGAGCGTCATCCTCGCGGAGCTGGCGGGCCGTGAAGATCTCCCCGTTGTGCAGCCCAACCGAGAAGAGGCTGGGGTCAGTGGCCTGCAACAGGGTGTAGGAGATCCAGGCATTGTACCCTGCATCCGCATCCACCGCCACCACCTTGGTGACCATGTGGCCAGCGGGAGTGCCTGGTGCCACCACATCGGTGTAGGTGGCGGTGGTGTTGGGCTGAGGGTACAGCACCATTGGGGCATTGTCATTGAGGTCAGTGACAAACACACTGACCGAGACATTAGTGGCCAGGGGTGGAAAGCCGCCGTCCTGGATCTGCACCATCATGTTGAACTCCACCTGGTCCTCGTGGTCCAGGGAGGTGAGCAGGTAGAGGGTGCCATTCTCCCGGTTGATGGAGAAGAGGTGGCCAAAAGTGGTGTCACCCTGCAAAAGGGTATAGGAGAGGTGGGCATTGCGCCCGAGGTCCGGATCCGTGGCACTCACGTTAAGGATGGGGATGCCAGGCATGTTGTTCTCCAGAACATAGACATCATAGGAGTCCTGGGACGACCTGGGAGCGTTGTCATTGACATCTGACACCTGCACCAGGATGTGTTTTACTGCAGACAAGGGTGGTGAGCCCGAGTCCTTGGCTGTGACAGTGATGTTGTACTCTGCTGCCTTTTCCCGGTCCAGAGCTCCTTCTGTTTTCAATGTGTAGTAATTTTTGAGGGAGGAGCTGAGCATGAACGGGATCCCAGGGGAAATAAAACAGTTCACCAGGCCATTGTCATGGGAGTCCAAGTCTGTTACACTCAGCAGAGCTACGACCGTCCCTGGGGCTGCATCTTCAGGCACAGGGCTGTACACAGAAGTCACTGTCACCTCTGGAGCATTGTCATTCACGTCCACGACTTCCACCAGCACTTTGCAATGAGCCACACCAGGAACGGCTCCCTTGTCTTTAGCCTGTAAGTAAATCTCATACAACTTTGTTTCCTCATAGTCCAGCTGTCCCTTGACCCTCAACTCCCCTGTGGCTGAGTCCAGAGCAAAAAGTTCTCGTACCTTGGCAGGGGTGTGGCTGCTGAAGGTGTAGATGATGTCTCCATTGGGCCCATCATCCAGGTCGTATGCACTGATCCTGGCGACCAGGGTACCGCTGGGCGTGTTCTCCCTCACACTCGCCTTATAGGTGGACTGGTTGAAGACCGGGGCATTATCGTTGGCATCTACAACGTCAATGTGGATCTGCACCTGGGCCGACCGTGGCGGGCTGCCTCCATCCAGCGCAGTCAAGACCAAATTCAGCTCCCTTTGCTCCTCCCTGTCCAGCTCCTTCTCTAACACCAGTTCCGCGTACTTGCTGCCATCCACCCTCGTCTGCACATCGAGCGCAAAGTTCGGGTTGGCGCTGAGCTGGTAGGTCTGCAAAGAGTTAATTCCCACATCGGGATCTTGCGCGCTCTCTAGCGGGAAGCGCGCTCCGGCAGCCACGGACTCACTGATTTCCAGCCGCGCCTGGCTGCTGGGAAAAACCGGGTCGTTGTCATTGATGTCCTGGATCTCTACGGTGCCGCTGTACAGCTCGAGCGGGTTTTCCACCACGATCTCAAAGCCGAGGGAGCAGGGAGAGAGCGCGCCGCAAAGCTCCTCCCGGTCTATCCTCTCGTTCACCAGCAGCGCCCCGCTCGTCAGATCCACCCCGAAGTACTTCTTGTTGCCGCCGGACACCACCCGCAACCGGCGCCCCGGCAGCCGCCCGAGGTCCAGCGCCAGGTCGGCTACCACGTTCCCCACCGCGGAGCCCCTCCGCGCCTCCTCGGGGATCGCATAGCGAATGGCGGCGGAAACCCAGTCGGAAACGCCGAACAAAAGCAAGAGGCTCAGTACCTGCCCCGTCGTCACCCCGCGGCTCCTCACAGCAACGCCGTTCATCGCACAGGACGGCCGCGCTCTCCGCCTCGCCCCCCGCCCCGGCTAGAAACTCTCAGCTCGCCCCGTCATGCCGCTGCCCAGCGGCCCCGGGAAGCGGCGGCGGGGAGCCGGGCATTGCTCGGCGGGCTCGGCCGTGACTCACTCGCAGAGTCTCTCTGAGACCGTCTGCGCCTCATCCCGGCTCCGAGCGGGGCCGGGCCGCCAGTTCCCCCCCGCTCCATCATTGGCCGACAGCGGCGCTCAGAGTCCCGGCCAATAACTGCACAGAGCGCCCGAGCCGCAGCGAGCGCGCCCACCCCGGCCCGGGGACAGCGGGGCTCGAGCGGGCAGGGCCCGCAGGGAGAGCACAGCCCTGCGAGAAACCCCGCTGCAGAAACAGCCGGGCGGGGGCAGCGCCGGCAGAGGCAGGGTAGATCCGGCACAGGGACTGCGTGTGCGGGAAAAGTCGGCAGAGTGACGCCAAAAGGGGAGATACGGAGACGTGGGGTGTTTGGGGTGTGTGAGTCCCGGGAACACCTCGCTGGAATGAGGCAGCGGGAGTAAGAAAGGGAGGTGGAGAGGGCGGGAGGATGAGTGGGGAGGGTCCTGCGGGATACGCAGGGTGCCAGGGAGAGCCGGGACCGGCACGATGCGCCAGCTCCCAGTGTTTCTCAGGACCTTCAGGATGCCGATCCTCCCACCCAAAAGCTTGGCCAGCCCCTTTACGGGGAGGAAGCCCCTTTCAAGGCGTCTGCACGTCGCTGCTCAGTACGCCACCAAAGCAGCGTGGCCGGCAAAGCGACACTGATTTCGTGCTGCCGTGTTATGAGCAGCTCCTCCGGCCGCAACACAAGCTCTCGCCGCGGGGCGGCTCCCGCCGCTGCATTTTCAGAAGCATCACCCCTCCTGCGGGATCCCCACTGCCACCACCATCCCAGCAGGCGTCTATCCCCGACAAACCGCAGAAATCTCGGTTTAATATGCTCTCCTGCTCTGGCCGGTACTTTGCTCCCCCAGCCACACTCAGGGCAATGAAGCTCTGCGACCTGTGGTGCAGGCTCAGCGGAGTGAGAACGGATCCCGTTCCCACGCACCAACAGCCTGGCAGGTCACAGCACCGGCAGTGCCTGGTCCAAAACCTGCCTTTGGGCTGTTGTTGCTGTCATCAACAACTCGTGCTACGTCGGGTTTTCCGACTTTTCCGAATTTTTACGAACATATAAGGATAAAATTACCGAAATTCCGGCATTTGTTGTCTGTAGCCTGCAGAACCACTCAGCTGCCACGGGGTAATGAAAAGGGGACGAGGATGCTTGGTAAGGGAGAGTCGGGAACCCTGTGGAAACCCAGCTGTGACACAGCTCCCAGGTGCCATCCCACAACCGACACTGACATGGAAGGCAAAAACCGGACTGGAAATCGGCGCCCATGCGTTCATTCACTTACGGAGGCTCCCAAAGCCTTGCAGAACTGGCTCGGAAACTTGCGGCGGGTTGTTAACCCGCTAATTGTGGGGGGGCTGAGCTCCTAGGGGCTGCAAGCCACCCGCACCAGCGCTGGACAGAGACATTCGCCAGAGCGAGAGGGATCTCGACTCTGCCTGTCCTGCCCCGCACAATCCTAAAAGCTGCCGTGAGCACAGGGGATCCACCCAGAGACGCGGTAGTTCGGCGCTTGCATGAACAGTCAGCACTATCAAAGAGTCGGCGCAATCTGTCCTATCTACATGCTCAGCTATTTCCTTTTCTCCTGATTAATCGCTGCCAAAAGATAAAGTTTATCAGCGCTATTTATCATTCTTATCACCTGTCCACAGAACGTGATAAAAGTTCACATAGCGTTCACATGTGATAGGGTTTCACACAAATAAAATAAAATGAGTCATCTAACGTTCACAAAGCACTTATTTTCTCTTAGAAAACCAAATCCCAATTTTCTTTCTTTTTTACATATAATCTAAAACCAAGAAAATCCACAGCTCTCTTCTATCTAAATCTTGAGATAGTCTTCAGCGACTTATTTCCCTGAAATAAACTCTGATTCCTTTTCCCAACACTCTAAGTTCTGAATCCTTTTTCCAATCACTGCCCATTTTAGGTTTTTCCTACACGAGATTTCTCAACGTGGGGACCACAGTTCTCAAGTAATTTCCCTCCCTACGTATGACTGCACACACCACCCGTACCAGAGTACCTTCTCCGTTTAATCCCAGCAGCAGTGGGATGGCCAAGCAGCGGAGAGATGAGTAGAAAAGAGATTTTAGGAAAGGCATGAAAGACAGAACATTTCCATCTACCGTATACCGATTAATCTGCAGACACTACATCTCCTCCACCTTGATGGGAAGCCTGAATATTGCAGACGACGCTTCAGAGCTCCTGAAAGCGCCGCTTTGAGGGAGAGAAATGAAAAAGTACAACAGCCAAGGGAGAAGACTCCTTCCCCTGCACCAGGAATTCCTCCAGGGACGGGTTCAAGCCACCTCCCAGCCTGAGCTGCTCACATCGGCATTTTCCCCGACTCCACTCCAGGGAAGCCGGTGGCAGCGGGGAACAAAAAAGCTCCTTCTACTCGATGCCAGGCTTGGAGCTGCCCTGAAGCATCAGCTCCGACTCTACAGAAGGAGGGGAAAAGTTGAGTTACGGGTGCACACAACACCTTCTGTCAAAGGGGTTCTGCGCTTAAGAACCGAGCTTGCCAGAAAAGGAGAGAACGCCAGCGTAGCAGCCCCCACTGAGTAAACACTCCGCGATGGATCACACATCCTTATCACATGAAAGGGTCAAATGCGGCTGAGACAATTAGTGGTCACTAGACCCAGGCGAAAAGGTTGTCTCAGCTCCAGGCTCCACGGCACTTTTACGCTCACGCTCCACCCCGAGTCCACCTCACCACTCCAGTTCGGTAAAACTGGCAGCTGTCTGTCCTTCTCCAGGACAGACAGAAGTACTGACAACATTTGCATCGCTCCTCGCAGAAAACCAGCAATTTGAGAATAAGACTTGGCAGGTCAAAAGAATGAGCCAAGATCTCAAGTACAGCCCCACTCACTTACACTCGCACGCCCCTGAGCTAGTGAGCAGTGCAGATCTGCCAGTTCCCCACTGACCACCCACAGCAGAGCAGAGGAAAACAAGATTCACAAAAATTCACAGAGAAGGACCGCAGGACAGAAGCTCACCTGTTGCATCGCTCCTCGCAGAAAATCAGCAATTTGCGAATAAGACTTGGCAGGTCAAAAGGATGAGCCAAGATCTCACGTACACCCCCACGCACTCACATCCGCACGCCCCTGAGCTAGTGAGCAGTGCGCAGGCACGTTCAGATCTGCCGGTTCCCCACTGACCACCCACAGCAGAGCAGAGAAAAACAAGATTCACAAAAATTCACAGAGAAGGACCTCAGGACAGAAGCTCACCTGCGCCGAGCTCCCAGGGCTAGGAGGGTCCTTCCCAGAACGAGTGCCTGAGCCGGGATCAGCGGACAGGACACCAGCAGACAAGGCTGCCGCCCCGGGTCTCAGGAACGTGAAGTCCTTCTGCCCCGACTCGGAGGCTAAACACACCTCGTAGGAATAGGGCAAGGGCAGCGTGCTGCTGCAGTAGTTGTACGGTGCTTTTGAGCCCAATGTGGAATATAGTTCCTTATCAGAAGTTATAAATATTGGAGGGCTCCTCGACTGTCGACATTTAAAGAAAAAAACAAAAATCACCGTGGAAACGAATACTAAGGACACGACTGAGAGCGACACAACAAGAATAAGGTTCAGATCAGACGTCAGGTGGGACACAGCGTCTCTGTCGCTGAGCTCCGGCAGCGCCTCCTGCAAGCTCTCGGCCAGCACCACGTGCAGCGTGGCCGTGGCCGACAGCGCCGGCTGCCCGTGGTCCTTCACCACGGCCACCACACGCTGCTTGGCCGCGTCCCGCTCGGACACGGCGCGCGCCGTGCGCACCTCGCCGCTGTGCAGCCCCACGCGGAACAGCGCCGGCTCCGACGCCTGCACCAGCTCGTACGACAGCCACGCGTTGCGCCCCGCGTCCGCGTCCACCGCCACCACCTTGGCCACCAGGTAGCCGGCCTCGGCCGAACGCGGCACCACCTCGAAAGGCGTCGCCGCCCCTCCCGCCGCCTCTCCCGCCGCCGCCGCCGCCGCCGGCCACAGCACCCTGGGCGCGTTGTCGTTGCGGTCCAGCACGAAGACGCGCACCGTGGCCGTGGAGCTGCGCGCCGGCGAGCCGCCGTCCTGCGCCCGCACGGCCACCGTGAACTCGCGGCACTGCTCGTAGTCCAGGGAGCGCTGCGCGTACAGCGCGCCGCTCCGCGCCTCCACCGACACGAGCGGCGCCGCGCCCGCCGCGCCCGCGCTGCCGCCCGCCAGCCAGTAGCTCACGCGCCCGTTGGCGCCCGCGTCCGCGTCCCGCGCCTGCACGCGCAGCACCAGCGCGCCCGCCGCGTTGTTCTCCGCCACGTACGCGCTGTACGCCGCCTCCTCGAACACCGGCGCGTTGTCGTTCACGTCCGACACCTCCAGCACCAGCTCCCTGCTGCTCCACAGCGCCGGCTTGCCCCGGTCCCGGGCCACCACCGTCACGCCATGCTCCGACGCCTGCTCCCGGTCCAGCGCGCCCGTCGTCACCACCTTGTACGAGCCGCCCGACGACGCCACGATCGACAGCGGCGCCTCTCCCGACAGCTCGCACCACACCTGCCCGTTCTCACCCGAGTCCGGATCGTTTACATTCAGCAGGGCCACCACGGTGCCAGCTGGCGAGTCTTCAGGCACCGGGCTCGAGAGTGACAGAATGGTGATTTCGGGCACGTTGTCATTCACGTCCTGCACCTCCACCTCCACCTTACAGTGCGCCACCAAACCCCCACCGTCCCTCGCCTCCACCAGCAACATGTAGCCTCGCGTGTCCTCAAAATCCAGCTCCTCCTGCAGCGTGATCGTCCCGCTCTCTGCATCCACCACGAACTTCTGCAGAACCTTGGCCGGCGTTTTCCCGAAGCCGTAAGTGATGTGGGCATTCGTGCCGGCATCAGCATCCGAGGCAGACACGTTCAGCACCGTCGATCCCGGAGGCGTGTCCTCGCGCAGGCTGACGCGGTACCGATCCTGCGCGAACACGGGTGGGTTGTCATTGGCGTCGGTGACGTTGATCCAGAGCTGGGCGGTGCCAGTCCGGGGCGGGTCTCCGCCGTCCAGAGCCGTCAGCAGCAGACGCAGACTATTCTCGCTCTCTCGATCCAGCGCGCGGCGCAGCACCAGCTCCGCGAACTTGCTGCCGTCCTGGCTCTCCTTCACCTCCACCGCGAAGAACCCGTTGGCTTCCAGCTGATAGCCCTGCAGCGAGTTACTGCCCACGTCCGCGTCCTCGGCCACACCCACAGCAAATCGGGCGCCCGGAGGTGTTGACTCAATGATTTCGAAGTGGATATTTTCCTTAAGAAAGCGCGGCGCGTTGTCGTTCACGTCCACGTCTACAAAATACTTGGGAAGAGAAGCCTTTGCAGAAAAGAAGTACCAGAATCAGCATCCTCTTTCTGGAGATTCTTGTTTATATTCCTTTTATTTTATGTCCCTCTCACAGTAACTGTGACTGGGGGGAAATGGCAAGTCTTATTCTCTAGAACAGCATTATCCTTTGATGTTCCCAATTTACAAATCATGGAAATTACCACAATTTCTTATCCTAGAACTGGGAAGAATGAGCTGGTAAAGCATTTTTCTTCAAAAAACTTTTTCAGTGAACGGCTTAAGTAGATCTAAGAACGGGGACCGACTGAAAAATTTATCCATGCTCCCAGGATACTTCTGTTAGCAGCGTGCTGAATTTTTTACTCTGAGAATTGTAAAAATGAGGGTTAATACTCCTCTTTAGTAATACTTGAAGCATACGTGACATGTCAGCTACCTTTCCCAGGACAGAGACTTCGAGATAAAAAGACAACAACAAAAAAAAAAGTCAGAAGAAGGAATCTCAGAAGGGCACAACTAGAGAAGGCAGTTTGCCACGGCTCAAACACCCTGACATGTCCTTTGTCATGACAAAAGACTGAACTCTCCCGGAGTGGGATGGTCTCAAAACAGAAATGATAAAACACTCTTGAGAGCAATGCCTATGAAAGAAACACTTGATCCACCTCGGTGCCTGTTTGTGCTGACACCACATCTCTGCAACAACCGAAGGAAATCACGAAATACAAAACTCTCCAAAAGCTAACAGCTCTTGTTCCATGACCTTGTAGAAAGCAGGGCACGTTATGATCAGCTGAACCATTCCAAGCGCTACCCAAACCAGGTTTTGGGAAACTACAGGTACAGCAAGTTCTACCAACACTCCTATTGCTCAATAAATAACTCCATGAGTTCTTACTGTGCTCATTCACAATGTCCTGGTGATAACTCAGTTCTCAGTTATGCCACTCTTGCCACTGTCTCAGAAGAAACAAAGATAGAAACTACAAGACTCAGTTTTTGTCTCTTCTTCTGCTGTAGCAGCTATTAGGAAATGATCACTCGCCTCAGCATTGCTGTGAGAACAGGCTCTTCCTCTGCAACAAGAAGCAGCCACACTCTGCCTTCAGAAAAAGAATACTGAGAAAGTATTTTAAGTAGAATCTCACCCTTCCTCACCCTTTGTTGTATTACATAAATTAGACACTGCTTTCAAGCTTTCAAATAATTAGCATTAACTGAACACGGTGTTGTACGACAACTGCAATAAATACAAAACAGATGACTGAATTTTGGAAAAACCTTCAACCAATAAAGAATTCACAATGAAAATACCTGTGCATGTCTAAGAGTCAAAACGTGTGAGTAGTGCTGTGATCAAGAACTGAGCATTGGCAAATGAACTTTGGCACATTAGAACCTACTGTCGCTGCACCCTCGGCTACAGCACCATGTCTCTGAAAAAGGCACAATGGAGAAGAGCAAAATAGACAAAAAATTGCCCATAGAACAGCAACAATCCTTCAGAAATCAATTTTGGTTTTGCAAAAGAGGCTTCTCATGAACAATCAGGTAATTCTCACAAAAT